AGAAAGAAAGAAAGAAGGAAGGAAGGAAGGAAGGAAGGAAGGAAGGAAGGAAGGAAGGAAGGAAGGAAGGAAGGAAGGAAGGAAGGAAAGAAAGAAAAGAAAAGAAAAGGTTAACTCTGTTGTCTTTGTCACCCCATTGAGTCCCAAGGTTGGTTCATCTGATCTGACTAGCTAGGCAAGCGTCCCTTTCCTCCCCCACCCTCCATTGTAAGTCCCTCCTTACCCAGTAGAGAAGGGATATCCTCCAGACAAACTCCCAGGATCTGTGGAGGCACACAGGTTAGGGACACAGCTAAGACTCCAGGCATATGTAGTCCTCTGGTGGTCTCCTTGGAGAAGTCATGCATGGTGGCACAGGTCTAAAAGGCCAGCACCCAGGACGCTGAGGTGTGAGGACGAGAAGTGGGATTTAGAGGGTCAGCACTGGATGCTGGCTTGTTAACCCTTACTGTGATCACCTCCAAGCGATTCACAACTGACACGCTGATTGGAACGTCTGTGTCCATACCCGTGCCCAGATGGCAAGAGGCTGAGGGCGTTTTAATTTGGCGTTGACTGGCATGGTCCGCCTGTGCTTGGCAGTAACTGACCACAACTTCCAGTTGTGGAACAAAACATTTCCGAGGAGGATCAGCACGGCTGAGAACAGAGAGCACGCAGCTCCTGTCTGCTGGTCACTGGCTGGTGTCTGCTTTGTCTGTAGCTGAATCACCAGTGTGTCTGTTTGTTTCTAGCCGGGAATCTGCTGAGGAATCCCAGCCACCTTCCTGCTTCAGCCTCTTGCTTGCTGGGATGAAGGCACCACACCTCTAACTGTCTAAATACAGTTGTTGAGACTGGAAAGACAGCTGGAAGTTAAGAGCACACAGTACTCCTGCAGAAGACCAGAGTACTGTTCCCAGAACCCCCGCGGACCCCCGAGGCAGCTCACAACCGCCTGTACTTCACAAAGTAGCTTCATTCTTGTTGATTCAAATTACCTAAAATGTTTGAACTCTGTGTGTGGCTCCAGAATCCCAACATTAAGGAGCCAATAATAATGAGAATTATCCTAGTCTTTGAGGTTTACCATGGGTCAGGATACATTACAATCACCACACACCCTCATGATGGCCCTCACAGATCAGTTGGTGGTTATACCCACTGTACAGATGAGACTATTGAGGCTTAGGTACATTAGAGGCTGCTCCAAAGTAAGGAGCAGAGGCGGGAGAAGAGGCCTGGCCTGCAAGTTCCAAAATCGCCCAATGTCTCACATCAGGTACTGTCAGGAGGCCGTGGGGGGAGGTCAGGGTCTGGATATCAACGACACTGGAGACAATGTGGGGGCACATGCTTGCAGTTGTACAACTTGAAGGCTAGAGCAAGTTACCAGCTAGTTCACCAGCCTTAACTACATAACAAGTCCAGAGCTAGCCTGGGCTATAAAGCAAGCTCTCGTTTCAAAACGGCAACAACCAAAAGGAAGGTAAGAAGTGAAGAAGGGAAGTGGATGGAAAGTGGAGAGAGAAACCAAGGGAAGGAAGACAGGAAGAGAAAAAAGAGGGCTGGGGTGTAGCTCAGCTGGTAGAGCACTTGGCTAGGGTTCCATCCCCAAACTGCACACACTGAGCATGTGATGCCTAAGACAGGAAGAGTTCAAGGTCATCTTCAGCTGTGTAGGGAGATTAAAGAAACCAGCACAATAGTGGGAACGCCGCAGCCGTGTGCCTAAGCCTGTGGGGCTCACAGCTGGTCCTGGTCTGTGCTACACAGGGATCAGCATCATTCTGGGGGTCCTGTTCTACCTGATGCAAGCCAGAGAGTTCTTACAGGAAGGCATGACCTACACGATGGGGAGCAGCTTCTACCTGGCCTGGATCAGTGTCTTCTTCTTCTTCATGATTGGTCTGGCTGGCTCGGGTGTGGCCTCGGTGGTGCAGATGCTGCTGCGGGGATGTTAGGAATGGGGGTCAGGCTGCACACAGGGCCGGGGACAGTGGGGCTGGGCTTGGGAGTCAGGGTTAGGGATTCTCGTAGGCTTGGGGTGGGCTGGGGACAGCATGAGAGTGGAGTTGATTCTGGATTTATTAGCCTACTGACCTCTGTCTTCTCTGCCCTTTCTCAGGTCTCTTCTCCTATCTGAACTACATGAACTTCTGGTCCATCCTGCCAGCCCAGGCCAGGTGGTCCTAGGCCATGACAAATGAACCAGTGATCCACTCTCACGACTGTCAACTGCCTGACGAGCTCACTCTCCAGCCCTATACTCATGAGTTATGTAACTTCTGACTCCCCTCAACCCAGAGTAATAACTTACATTTTAAAGAAAAATATCTTCTGCCCAGAATATTTCATTACTTGGCTTTGTATTTTGAAAGCACATTGTGGAACTGCCATACCCCCCCCCCAACACACACACACACACACACACACACACACACACACACACACACACACACCTTGTCCATTTCGGGGCTATTCTTAAGTAGAGGGACAGAAAAGGGACTCAGGGGTAAAACATCAAAGGTCAGCAAAAAGACTACGGTGAGGATCCTTGGCATATACACAGTGCTTTTTTGTTTTTTTTTGTTTTTGTTTTTGTTTTTGTTTTGAGACAGGGTTTCTCTGTGTAGCCCTGGCTGTCCTGGAACTCACTCTGTAGATCAGGCTGGCCTCAAATTCACAGAGATCTGCCTGCCTCTGCCTCCCCGAGTACTGGGATTATAGGTGTGTGCCACATGGTGTTTAATGTTTATTGACTTACCCCATGTCTTAACTTCAACCTTTAGTTCTTTTGATTTCTGTTGTGGTTTTTGTTTTTGAGACAGGGTCTCACTATGTTGACCAGGCTGGCCTAGAACTCATAAAGATTGGCCTGCCTCTGTCGCCTGAGTGCTAGGATTAAAGGTGTGCCTCACTGTTCCGCAGCTCCAACCTTTAGTTGTATAATCAATAACTCCCCTTTTCTGAGAAGATCCTGCTCAGGTCCTCAACTCACCCCCCATCTTTTCCTGCAGCTTCTCCCCTAGCCCTACTCTTCTTCCCAAAGGCCCTCAACACAATCCCGCTCAGCGTAGGGCTCTGGGAGGGAGGTGTGGGGCCAATAGACAGCTGCTGAATAGGGAAGGGTTGATACGGAAGTAAAAAGCCCATCACTTCCCAGGTCCCCCACCACCTACCTCCTGCAGAGGGAATGAGGCTCTCCTTTTCTTATTCTCACAGGTTAGAGACTCTCACTAGCTCTATGACTCACAGCAAGGTTGACTTGGGACTCAGTTTTCTTGTCTACAGAGTAGAGGCAATGATGTACTATACAGGTCCAACCTTTTGACATCACCATATGATAATATTATCTACAAAGTTCACATCCAAGAACTGCACAATCAAAAGGCTGGAGAGATGGCTTAGTAGTTAAGAGTGTTTGCTTGCTTTCCCAGAAGACTGAGTTCAGTTACCAGCATCCTTGTTGGGTGCCTCATGCTGCCTGTAACTCCAGCTCTAGGGGATCTCTTGCCCTCTTTTGGCCTCTGCAGGTACTACACCCATGCATACACAAATAACCCCCAACACACACACACACACACACACACACACACACACACACACACACACACACAAATAAATTTGAAAAAAAAGAACTGCACAATTGTGTTATCAAAAAAAAAACCTGCAAGGGGCTGGACAGATGGCTCAGCTGTTAAGAGCACTTGCTTTTGCAGAGGATCAGGGCTTGATTCCCAAAACTCACATGGCAGCTCACAACCACCCTTAACTCCAGTTTCAACACTCTTCCGACCTCTGAGGGCACCAGGCACACCCGTAGTACACAGGCACACATGCAAGCAAAACACTCACACATATAAATCCAAAATAAATACATTTTAATTTAAAAAAAAATTAGACACTTTCTCATGTATTCCAGGCTGGTTTGGAACTTACTATGTAGTCAAGATGGAACCTAAATTCTGCATCTCTTGTTGGCATTACAGTTGGCCACAACCATGCCTAGTTTACATAATGTTAGGAATTGAAGCCAACACTTCCTACAAACTAGGCAGGTACTCTACCAAGTGAGCCACACCCCCAGCAAATGTGTCCATTTTTAAAGAGGAGCTACAGCTATATGCATTACACTAGGTCTGTAAGAATGATCAATAAACACAGCCCCAATCCTGTGCAGAGGAATACAAAGCCTGTGCCCATAAGGAACCAGATGAGATGTGAGGGAATCCATGCTATGAGGAAAGAGAGGAGGTGTCTTATTTATTTTTCTGTTGCTATGATGAAAACACCCTGGTAAAAGCAACTTAAGGGAAAAGGTTCACAGTTAAAAGTACAGTCCATCACCTGGGGTTAGGGGGTCAGGAGGCAGGAGCTTGAGGAGGCAGCTAGTCACACTGCATCTGCAGTCAGGAAGCAGAGGGACACGAACACTGGTACTCAGCTTTCTCCATTTATACAGCCCATAATCCCTACACGCAGGCAGATTATCTGGAGTGGAGGTAATCTGGGGATTCTCTGCCAAGATGACAGATGAACAAAGGTGACTGGAGAAGGAGGGAGTGTAATGAGTCTTTCTCTGTCCTGCCAGCCAGCTCCCAAATGACATGGAGACTTATTATTAATGATAAAAGATTGGCCTTTAGCTTAGGCTTGTCTCAACTAGCTCTTATAACTTAAATTAACCCATATTTTTTAATCTGTGTTCTGCCGCATGGCTTTACCTCTCTTCCATCTTGAGCCTCCCATTTCCTCCGTGTCTGGCTGGCAACTCTGCCTTTCTTCTTCCCAGAGTCATCTGTCTCTGGATGTCCCGCCTAACCTCTTCCTGCCTAGCTATTGGCCACTCAGATCTTTATTAACTCAATCAGAAGACACCTTGGCAAAGATACATCTTCACAGTGTAAACAAATATTCCCCAACAAGGGAGCCATGTGGATTGGAGTTGCTTGAAATGCAGAGAGAATGGTACATGCCAAAGGTCCTGGGCAGAGACGGACTTTGTAGGTTCCACAGAGATCAGGAAGACCACAAGTGAGGGAGGAAGGTAAGGCCCTGAGAACACACAGAAAGGCACCACTACCAGCCTTGTTGAGAATATTGCCTTTCCTCTGGTGTGAGCCAGCAGCCAGAATGGAAACTCATTCACATACCTAAGAGAGGAATCAACCCCTTCCCCTTTACTTCAGACCATTAGGTTCCAGGACAAATCTCCTCAATGGAAAGAAGAGCCCTAACGAGCAGGGGTCAGTGGAACAAAGGACACTCGGGTCTCATGAAGGATTGCAGCTATGGCTTAAAGAATGTAACAGCTCCATAGGCACTGATATGGAAAGACTATTTGGAGAGCAAATTGAAGAAGAAGAAAAGGAGAAAGAAAAACCGTTACCCAATGTGTATGTTCGTAGAGTAAAAAAAAAAATCCATGTCCAATTGTGTGCTGTGTGAACTTTTGAAATGGTATGAGGTACAGACTTTTTAAAAACAAAAACAAATCCTCTATTAGTTTTGTGCTTGAGACACTCCAGCCCAACCAATAATTCAGAGCCCTGACCTTTCTCCCTAAGACCTATGGGTCCAGACCCCCACCTCCTCCCTCAGATCCAGAGGTCCACACCTCAGCCCTCCTCCCCTAGACCTGGATGTCCAGGTCCCAGTCCTCCTCCCTCAGACCCAGCGGTCCAGATGCAAGCCACCCTCCCTCAGGTACAGGGAGTCCCCGCCATTCCGCCCTAGCGTCTCTGCTAGGACGCTGCCCATCACAGATCACATTCGCCTCTAACTGCACCACGCCGGGCTTCCCTGTGAGCCCGGGCTTGGTCCCGCCTCCCGCGCTGCGGCGGCGACCTCTGTTGGGTGGGCCCTTTAAGCGTAACCCAACCTCTGCTGCGGGCACTTGCTCCCCAGCCGCGCTGGCAAGTCCATGGTTTCCGGTTCTGACCCCGCCTATCCCTCGAGGGCCTTTCTCGTCCCGCCTCCTCCTGGAGGCTGCTTCAAGAACTGCCAGACAAGAGTGACGGAAGAGCTGTCCAGATATGCTCTTTATCCTTTTAGTACTCTTCGGAGACAACAGATCTTATGTTCTGATCAAGAATATTCTAGCGGCAACGGACGCTTATTCTTTCTTCTGCCGTCAAAGCGTGGTTCCCAGCAAAGGCTCCAGTGTAGGCTGCCTCGGGGCGGAGCCTGAGGGACGCCGGGGGCGGGGCCTGGCGGGCGCGGTGGGCGGGACTGACAGGCGGCGCGCGCTATAAAATGGGACTCGCGGCGCTGGCGCGCGCTTGAGGCGAGCGTGCTGGGTCGGGTGTGTGTGCGGCGCGGTTCCTCGAGGTTGGTCTCGGCGCCGTCCGGTCTGGGGTGCCGCCGTGCGCCCTAGGGAGCGCGTGTCCGGAGGTATCGGTGGCCTGCTCGTGGGTGTGCCTGTCGCGTGGACGGGTTCAAGGGCGCTGCTTGGGGCCGCGGGCTCGCCGGGGGTGGAACCGGGGTGTCCCCTGAAAGGGCGGATGCGGGCACTTTCGGGGATGATGCCTTCCGCCAGGTGTGTGGAGCTGTGGATGCCGGGACGGGCCTTCCTTTGTCTGTGCCTGAGCCGGGCTACGCCATTTCTGCTGCTCACGTCGCGGGTCTTGTCCGCCATCTTACCCGTTTTTAGGTGACAGGGAGGGGGTGTGTGTGACATAGGATTTTCCTCCCGGTGACAGCCCCGTGCTACCTGCAGGTTCTCTCCGTAGGAAATCTCTGCCACTGCCCCTCCTCCCGTGTGGGATTTTGACATTTTTGTGCAACCTAGAACACTTGAGGGCTGGAGGAGGATGGGGTGTAGGGGCAGATACAAGATACGGAGTTACCAAGGCGGAAGTGAGTGCACGTGGAGGACTGGATTGCTTCGGAGCACCAGGTAGGAGTAGACAGGAGAAAGGAAGTCAGGCCTTTTTTCCACCTGCAAGAATACTGATACAGTGTTGGGCCTGGCGGTATGTCATCCCAGCTGCTCGAATTTTGAAAGTAAATTACAGCCGGGAGGCGGTGGCGCACGCCTTTAATCTCATCACTTGGGAGGCAGAGACAGGCGGATCTCTGTGAGTTCGAGGCCAGCCTGGTCTACAGAGCGAGATCCAGGACAGGCACCAAAACTACACAGAGAAACCCTGTCTTGGGGGGAAAAAAAAAAGAAAGGAATTAAATTACATATTTCACCCAAAATATTTTAACCACACGTTCCCCTCCAAAACAGCCTTTTTCTGCCCACTGGTCCGTGCCATTATCACACTTGATTAGACTTTCCTCCTGGGATCCTGCTGTTCTCTTTGTGTTCATTGCGAAGCCATCTCCCGGATGCCTTTCACCGGTGGTTCAAATCTGGCTGAGTACGGTCCTTGTCCATATCACTTGTATCTTTGGGTTTGGGTTTTTTGTCGGTTTTATTTGGTTTTTCTCCATAGAACAACCCCTTGGTTCCTCCAATCAGGTTCTTCAGAGGGACTTGTGTCTTCACAGGTTTTATTTTTCAAGGTTACTAGCAGAGACAGCCAAGACAGGGGAGCAGCAGAGTCGTCTTCATGCCGCGGGTACATAGGGAAAATCTGTGGACCTGTCACTGGGCAAGTTGGGGCATCTAGTGGATTTTGTGTTTATAGCTTGGCCACCATCCCTGCAGGCAAGCGGCCTTCACATTGCAGAAGGTCTGAGGCTCCCATGATGTTTAGCACTGGGCTCCGATCATCCTTGAGGACACAGTGCCCCTCCAGGACCTTTGACACCTGGGGGTCTGAGGGGCTCTGGTTTTGGTGTTCTTTCTACACCTGTCCCCATGCATACACCCTCACCAAGTCCTTCCTGTGTTACAGGTGTATCTTGAAGCCAAGTAGCCGCCCACCATCATCTCATCGTGGTGAGAACCTTTACTTCTTGATCTCTCTACACCTAAAATAGAATACCTTCCTCTAGGGTGACTTTCTATAATTTGGGGTCTAATGGACCAGTAATTATGGGAATGTTACATATTAAAATTCTCACGTACGAGACCAGTCAGCCCTGCTGCTCAAACTCCATACTGGTCAGTGAGCCGTCTCACTTAAATCTGGGTGCTAGGCGGAGCAGACGCACATCAAGGGGGGGTGGCAGTGTTTCCTGCCTTCCAGGGGTAAGGGCTGGGTGCAGGTAAGGTGGTAAGGTGCAGAAGGGACCTGGTTTTCAAACTCAGTAGAAGGAACAAAATGGCTGTCAGCATTATCATCTGACCACTGGATTTTGGGCTGAATACAGTGTGCTTTTGAGAATCCTTAAATCATTTGTACATAAAAATGATACTTTTAAAAAAAAACCTTGAATTTACATAGGAGTCATTATTAAAATAGCAATGTTTATCAGAAGACGGGAATGTGTGTTATCTGTAAAAGAACAAGTTCTCAGCTCTAGGAGAATTTCTCCTTGTTTTTTGGGTGTTGGGGACAGGGAGAACAATGGCTGTGTTTTCTATCTGACCATACTGGGCTTGGGCTAGTAACGAGGTGTCCTGCATATCACTGAGTGACGCATGGAGTCTCGGTAGGCAAAGATAGGAGAACTGAAAAGGAGAAAATACTGGCAGGTGGCTAGGGAGACCTCGTTCCTGTAGCCTGTGTCCATGGTCCACTCCACTGTCAGAAATGTGCCCATTGTCCACCCCACAACCATATAGGGCTTATAAGCACCTGAAATGGGCGTTTCTGGGGCTGAATTTTTCATTCTTAATTGTGTGGCTACGTCTTTGGACCGCTTATGTCTGCACAAAATTGAGGCTTATGGTTGCTAAATAATTGAGCACTTGTGTGAGAACTTAAAGCAGAGCAGAGCAGGATAAGTTCAAGGCCAACCTGGGCTACATAACAAGACCCTCCCTGTTGGGTGGAGGAGAAGGCCACAGCATTTGAGGAAAATGAGTTCAGCAAATCCCAGCAGGATCCTAGCAATAGGCAGGTCTCCTCCTCCTCTGGCAAAGTCATCCTTCCCCAAGTGCAGTGTGGAACAGTGTTGCTGGCCTCAAGCTCAGGCAGGTCGAAGAGTTGCTTTGGGGTAAATAGGCCTGGAGGAAGGGCAGAAGCCATTGAGGTACATGTTCACTACGTCCTGGGAATTCCAAACGGGCCTAGAGCTGAGCTGTGGGCCCAGGACTGCCTCATGTGCCACACATTCCCAAGGACAAAGCAGCCTCAGTCTGTTGGCAGCAGAGCATATGGAAGGCAGTGTGCAGGGTCAGGGTGGACAGTGAGGGATAACTGTGGCACCTGCTTATACTCCCAGCATTCCAGGTGGCTGAGGCAGGAGGATCCTGAGTTCACGTCCAGCCTGGGTTACATACAAAACTACGTGAGTAAGATGGGGTGTGGGAGTGTGCGTCTGTGGTCCTCTTTGGGGTAGAGGCATGTCGGGAGTGTCACAGGGAGGTCTGCTTTCTCAGAAACCAAGTGTCAGCCATTCTCTTGCCTGAATGTCTGAGCACTGCGCTATACTATCCCCCTGGGGCCTAAGAGATGGAGAGTGTTGATATTACCAGGACCCCTGTGATGTCCAGCACTGGGCTCTGACCACCCTGAGGACACGGTGCCCCCCAGGGACCTTTGACACCCTGGGGCCTGAGGGGTCCTGGCTGCAAAGGGAGTAGACGGAGAAGTTGTGCTCTTCGTGCGTGCGTCTCACCAGCCACTTTCCCCTCTTCTCCTGCAGACAGACAGACAGTTCCTTCAGACAGCCAGGCTTCCCTCCGGGTAAGCAGAAGGGTTGCCTGGGGGTGGGTGGGGTCTCAATACTGCTAGTACTTACTGCTCAGTTAGACTCTGCTTGTACTGTAAGAAATCCTGTCAGTGTCTGCTGAGGGACCCCCGTGATGTCCAGCACTGGGCTCTGACCACCCTGAGGACACGGTGCCCCCCAGGGACCTTTGACACCCTGGGGTCTGAGGGGTCCTGGCTACAAGGAGGGGGTGAGTGGGGGTATCATGGTCTTCCTTACCAGCTTCTTTCCCCTTGCCTTCCTGCCTACAGGTGGTTCCTGCGGACAGCCTGCTTCCTCCGGGTAAGAACAGAGGGGCTGTCTGGGGTAGGGGTAGGGTCAGGGTCTTAATTCTAGTCCCATGAGCTGTGTGCAGACATGGGGATGGGTAAAGAAGCTGGACGAGGTGGTCAGGAGGCATCCTGTCCTACTGCTCTTGGTAACCCCCATGATGTCCAGCACTGGGCTCTGACCACCCTGATGGTGTGTTGCGTGACCCCGGGACCTTTGACTCCGGGCTTCTGAGGGGTTTCCGTTGGAGGGGGTGCTAGCTGGGGGCGTGGCCCTTTGTCACCTGCTAGCATGCCTTATGCCTTTTTGCAGCCTCTGCAGCAGCATTGCCTCCAGCCCTCTTGCTGTCCTTGCCTTGAGGCTGTAGGGCCATGGCGGAGAGAGTGCTGGTACCCACCCAGATAGGCCGGGGGGACCGCTACTACACATACACGGAGCTCTTGGCTATCTCACGGCGTTTCAAGCAAAACCCCAACGAGCTCATGGTCACCTGGATCCTGCGGGTGTATGACCAGGGAGGCCCGGCCCTGTCCCTGAATTCCGGGGAGCTGGGGCTGCTGGGTGACCTCACCCACGATGCCATCTTTAACTACCGCTGCAAGGCCCTGCGGGGGGGTGGCTGCCAGACGCTGCTGAGCTGGCTGCTGCAGGCCTGGCGCCAGCGCTGGGAATCTTCCCTGCATTTTGAGGCCACGCAGCTGCCCTTCAGGCCTTGGACCACCATGGAGGAAGGCATCCAACTGGTTCGTGAGCTGGGTATGATTGAGTGGATCTACCTTGACCCAGAGGGGCCTGTGGACCTGGCCCCAGAGGATGTGGCCTTCACTCAGGGCCTGCAGCGGCGCCTGCTCACAGCAGCACCCTCCGAGCTGCGGCTCTCGCTGGTCAGCCTGCTGGTGCGCGGCATGACAGTACTAGAGGCTGTGATGGAGATCCAGACCATTGCTGACGTGGGTCTGCTCTGGCGCCAGAGCCAGCCAGGCCGCACCAAGCTCATGCTGGGGCCCAACCCAACTCGAAAGGACCTCCTGGGCTGGCTGCTCAGCCACGGCGTGCCCCGGGAGCAAGTAGACAGGCAGCCCACCAAGGTGCTCCTGGAACTGTACATCAAAGAAGCCAAGCGCAGTCGTGGCCAGCCCGGCTATGGGCTGGCTGAGGAGCAGCCCCCACCTCCCCCCTACTCCGACCAGGCCTGTGGGGAAGAGCCCCCTGTGCGGCACGACTAGACCTGGACTGGCTTTGAGCGCACACGCGTACCCCGGGGTTGAAGGTGGGGAGGTGAAGTGCAGAGGCTGCCTGCAGCCTAGGCCACCAGGAAAGAGCTTGGCAAGCCCCTTTCCCACATTTGTGTCCCTCCAGCATTTAGTGCCAAGTTCAGTGGACCCCCAAAGAGAGGTGTGCATGTCCCCGGCCACGCAGTCCATGTGGGAAGTGAGCCACAGGTGGCCGGCCATTTGCTGTGAGTCTAGGGTGCTAGTGGCCCTGGAGTTAAACCCCTTGAGTTGGAGCATAAGGCCATGCTGAGGTGGGCTGCCACATCAGGGTCCCCGCCCCTCTGCCTCCACATGGGCCCCAAAGCACTACATACAGGCCATCTTGAATTTTTTACTTTTTCAATGCAACACTTAACAGTATTTTAGGTGTAGGCCACACTTCATGTACTTTTACTGGGGGGTTGACACTTTAGGGCCAGGCTCCCTATTTTAAAGACTTAATATTGTGAACTTTTCTAATGCAGCATTTTTACTTTATATTTTATTTTGAGCTTATGTGACACTTTGGTTTTGGGGGGAGGAGAGCCCCCTTTTGTAAGGACTTTGCTCTGGGGACCCTGTCCCTGTTTTCTTTTGGCCATGCCCTTCCCTTTTGAAGCACCTTCCAGCTGGGTCTGGTGTCCCTGGCTGCACACATGTCCCCTGGCCAATGTAGATCTGGATCTAGTGGAGGGGCGAGGCGGGCAGCCCTGGAGCTTCTGCCTCCGCGAGTTCCTATTAAATGGCTGCTTCATCGCCCTCCGCTGGGTGTGCTGTTTGACTTGGTCCCGGCGTGGGTAGATTCGGGAGGACGAGCTGGGTCCAGGGCAGGTGAGGCACAGGTGCACTTGCCCACCTCTGGCCTGTTTCCAGAGGATGCTCCAGCGGTCTGGTGAGGAAAGGTGGGCTGGTGGGCCAGTCAGCCACTGGCCGGCCTTAGCCCCTACCCTGCAGCCTGCGTTGGGTTTGAGTGTATTCTGCTTCTTGTGAACCAGACCCTTGAGCTCAGGCTGTCCTGGGGTCCCAAGGTGTGCTCCATAGCTTCCTCAGGATCTTTAGTCTTGTACCTCCCCCAGAGAGGAGCCTGGCCACCTCAAGAAAGAACACCCATTGACTTCCCAGTGTTGGCGGGGGGCTCCAGGGATGCCAGTGGCATGGTTGCTGGTCAGTAGGGGGTGGGGTCCTGCAGTGGCAGTCCTAGGTGCAGGCTCATCACCACATCCATCAGGAGCTTCCCCACTTCAGGGAGAACTTAGGAGAGTGGTGAGGGTGGGGCTTCTAGAAGACTGGTTACCTTAGCCAGTACCCTGGAGACCCCCATCTCCATCTGTAATTACTGGGAGCAGAGTTCCTTAAGGACAGTTCAGTCCTATAGGCTCTCACCTGCACACGTGCTTATTGCCTGCCACCTGTATGTATGGCACCTGACTGTAGAGACATGCCCAGTGCCTGGGGCCCACCCAGCCTTCATTCCCACGCGCGCGAGCACAGTAAGTGACAAGTCAGAGCAGCAGGTGAGCACACGTGTTGGGATCCAGTGTCAGCTGAGGGGGTGCTTTTGTGTTTATGCGTTCCCCCTCATACAGCCCCTCCCAGGGCCCTCAGGCAGCTGGGCCTCCAGGCCAGTAGGCCAAGCCCCAGGCTCAGCACAGCCAGCACTGCCACAGCTCCGGCCAGAAGGGGCACCGTGGCTGCAGGAAGAACATGGGGGTTGTGAATCCCAGGCCTTGGGAACACCCCGCTCCCACCCCTGCGCAGAGGGCTGTCACCTGGGGGGCTGGTGGACTCATAGGAACCATGGCAGGGGGCCCCACGAGCTGGAGGCCTGGCTGGAGCAGTCAGCTGCTGGAAGCGCCCAAGCGGACAGGGGGCTGGGCACCCGGGAACCTTCAGTGGCAGGGGTGGGCTGGAGGTGTCATTCCGGTAGATGAGAGAGACGGTGACATTCCTGGTGGTGGAGAGGACAGTGGTACGGCCTATTCCCTCCTAAGAGCTCATCCCACCCAGTGCCAAGCCATCACCCATCCTCACTCTCCATCTTCTTCCTCGGGTTCCCTGGAGCTCCCCCGGAACTCAAAGGCCATGCAGGCAGCGTAAGGTGGGGTGTTCCCGTCGTAGAGGCCCAGGGCCCCCTGGAGGGCCAGCAGGGTGCTGTCATGCTACAGAGAATCCATTGGGGGAGGTGAATTAGGACCCAGAATGCTTCTAGCACCCTTAGAAATAACTCCGGGCCACTCCCACGCACACCATGGACATTCTGTGATTGTCCAGACATGTTAGTTGTTCCTGGCAGTTCTGTTTAACAGTCCTTGAAGGGGGACTAGAGCTCCTCAGGCCCCTCCCCCTTCATTACTGTCTCCCATAGGTACTGTAGGAGATAGGGGTGACCCCAGGCTGTGGGCTTAGATGACATCCCCCTTCATTACTGTCTCCCATAGGTACTGTAGGAGATAGGGGTGACCCCAGGCTGTGGGCTTAGATGACATGGTCTTAACCACCACTGCCACCCACGTAGCAGCCAATCCCTGTCCTTCCCAAGGACTCACAGCTGAGTACATGACCATCTTGAGGGGCAGCCCCAGGCTCTGGGCCCGGGAGAAATTGCTGAGGATGGCATCCAGCAGAATCCCTGAGGGACAGGAACAGAGAGCTTATATACCCCCTCCCCACCTGAAGAACAGCTCCCCCACCCCCATAGGCCTTACACCTCACCCCCTGTCAGCTGGGCCTTTTCTGCTGCCCGGGGTGGGCCCACATGTGCCCTGATATCCAGAGCTGAAATCTGTGACAGAGTCCTCAGGACGTCTGGGGAGGCCCAGGATGGAAGGGTGAGACCATGGGCACGCTGGGGAGAGAAGAAGAGGACCTCGAGAGGGAGTCCTCAGTCACCCCCCATTTGCTTCATGTGTGCATGTGTACAGTGTGTGCCTGTGCACGCATGCATGTGCATGTATAGGTTAGAGGTTACCTGCAGGTGTTCCTCAGGCCTGGCCCACCACCTAGTTTGAGAGTCTCACTGGCCTGGAACTCACCAAGTAGGCCAAACTGGCTAGCACTGAGCCCCAGGGTTCCTCCCGTCAAGGTCTCCTCAGCACCAGGAGTGAGCTGCTGCATCCAGCTTTTTCATGCAAGTGTTGGCAGTCCAGACTCCTCGGGCTTGTACGGCAAGCACTTTGCTGACAGCCAGCCCTCCAGACCCTGACCCTCATTCAAACCCTCAGATCAGCTCACCACAGTGTGGGCCAGAGCAATACCAGACCAGAATCCTTACCAAGCCCTTGGGGACCAGAGATGCCTTGGAATCTGACATTTGGGATTCTAGAAAGATCCAATGAAATGGTACCAGGAAAGGGGGTGTCACTGTCCACCAGCCTGTCACCAGCCCCACCGTGCAGATGGGGAGACCAGGGTACACAGGCTAAATCACTTGCCCTAATAAACAGCTAGGCCAAGTGCTGGTTTGAAATGCCCGGCTGGGAAAGGTGAGGAGAAGACTCACCTGACAGATTAGTGTGTCCAGAACTTTCCACGCTCTGCGGAGTGGCTCTCCAACCAGCGACAGCCCGGTGAAGTTGCCCAGGCGGGTCAGGAAGTCCTGGGTGGAGATGCAGGGCTGGCTGAGCCCTGACCAGTCCTTGCATGGCACCCAGCCCCCCCCCCCCCAGCACTCACCGTCCAGCCCTTCAGGGCCTCCTGGTAGTCCGCGGCCTCTGTGGACTCCCGCAGCAGCTCATGGTATCGGGGGCAGCTGCGCATGGGGAACCTCAGCAACTGAGAGAGACTGAGGCTCAGGGAAGACAGTGGCAAGTCTGGGGGCTCACGATTGGCCATGGGGCCAGGGTCCCTGGCCTTGTCCCTCTCCCACTGTCCCCTGTACCCAGCTAAGCTGGGCGGGGGTGACAGCTTACCCCTCTGGACAGTTCCACCAGGGACAGTCTTGCTGATCTCAGCTGTTCTGGGCTTGGAAGCCCAGCAGTGTGTCCACCTGGCTGGGGGCTGCCTCTGCCCCTCTCCAGCTCAGTGGGATGCTTTGCTTCCATCCCTTTTTGTGTATGTGTGGTGCTGGTTATGGAACCCAGGACCTTGGACAAGCTAGACAGTTCCTCTACCTCTAAACCACAGCTCCAGCTCCTCACTGGGGGACTCTAATGCTTCACCACTGAGCCACACTCCCAGTCCCTCCCTGGGGGATTCTAAGGTGTGTGTGTGGGGGGGGGGGGGTTACCACTGGCCTACATCCCAAGTCGTCTTGTTAACTTTTCATTTTGAAAAAGTCTCTCTAGGTTCCCAGGATGACTTTGAACTCGAGATCCTTTGTTTCTCCCATCAGATCCAGCCCCTGACCTTGTCCTCCGACACAGGCACTGTGTGCACTGGGATGGGCTTCCAGTCGGCCTCAGGACTCCCCGGGGCAGCTTCGGGGAACAGCCCAGCCAGGTTGGCCTGTGCACTCTCCAGTGTCCGGTCAAAGTCTGTGCTGCGGATGTACACCTGGGGGGGGGGGGACAGCAGAGGGGTGGGCGGGCCAACGCTCGGCAGTGTCCCAAATCAAAAGCTGCAGATTCAGTTTGGGGTAGGTTAGGTTAAAGGTCAGGCATTGAGGGTTAAAACTCAAGGTGAGTTCAAGTGTCTGGCCTTCCAACTTTGGATGTAGGGATGGGGGTCAGAGGTCAGAGGGGTCTACTGGGGTGTTGAGAGTTAAAGGAAGGTCAGACCAAGGAGGTTGGAGGTAAGAGGTCAAGATGTAGAAGGTGGGAACTGAAAACATGGAGCTCAAGTTCAGTACGCAATTCTCAGAGGAATCAGGATCGGGGCCAGGAGGACTCAGCCTAAGGATGCCAGCAGACAGAAAAGGGAGGCCAGCCATGATGAAAGCAGAGGTCCCGGGTTGGAAGTTGAAGCTTCTGGGGGTGCTGTCACTGATGAGGGCTTGCCCAGCATGTGGAGGTCCAGAACCCTCCCAAGAAACCCCACCCCAGGAAACACAGGAAGGCAAAGCAGGGACCAAAGACCAAATCAAGTTCAAAGGTCGGAAGGTCAGCATGGAGTAGTTGGGAATCAAGACAAAGGTTGAGGTCCAGTCAGTGGTCAGACTGCCATAGTTTCAGAGGTCAGTGTGGATTCCTTACTAACTCAAAAGCCCATGGGAATGCAGATCAAGCTGATAGAGACCAAAGACAAGAGGTGACGGCCAAAGGGGACACTGGGGTTAAAGGTCAGCAGCAAAGTACCTCTTCACGCCTGTACTCCGGGCTCAGGAAGGCCTTATAACGCCTCCTCAGAAATCGGCCCAGCTCCAGCTGCTGGCGGATCCCCTCCTGGGGACAGAGGCAGCCTCAGCAGACCCTCATCACCTGTCCCCCAGCCCTCTTCCTCACCCCCTCTCCCTCCTCACCTTGGTCAGCTGGCCCAGGCCTCGGGGCCACAAGGTGGAGGCAGCTTCCTTGTGTGGATCTGTGGGGTAGGAGGCCAGTGGGGCCCGGTCGCCATGGCGGAACACCTGGGGATGTCGGAGAACCAGGTCAGGGCTGGTCTAGGAGGTAGAGAGTGGGTCAGGTGGGGTGGGAGGCTGCGCACCAGAGCCACAAATAGCAGGGGCCCCTCTAGCAGGGCCTGGGGTGGGAGCAGCAGCAGCAGCAGCAGCAGCAAGGGTCCGGCAGTGTGGCCCTGAGACCCAGGCTCGGCCATTTCCACAGAGAGCAGACGCTGAGCTCAGCCTCCGTCTGTGCTGTGGCCTCACCTGCTCATTAGCCTCCGGCTCAGCCCCCTGCAAGCAGCGCAGGCCCCAGCACGCTCCACAGCACTGCCCCAGGCTGGGGAGGTCTGGGGTTAACCCAGTTCATCTTCACAGACCCCCCAGGAGGTGTCCATGTAGCCACCGGCATCTCTGCTATGCTGATGGGGAAACTGAGGCACAACAGGACCACTGACTTGCCTGAGGAAACATCTAGGAAATGGCAAAGCTGAGAGGTAGTTACAGGGAACCCCACCCCACCCCCACCACCCCTGCTTCCCCAAGCTTTCTGTTCCTTTTTGAAAATGTCAGGACTCTATGAGGCCCCCTTGGACTGCTTGAAGATCACTTTCTCCCACACCAACAGAGCCCTGGAGCCAAATTCCCAAGCCAGGAGTAGACGGACTAGGTTCAAATCTCTCACCATCACAAGCTGTGGGATACTATCAAGTTACTGGAACTTCTGCGTGCCTTCATCTCACAAGACAGACCAGATGGGTCAAAGAGCATTAAGCACTGGAGAACCTGCTTGCAGAAAGGAACCGCTAAGAAGTTGTGTTTATGACCACTTAACAAATGACCCTAAAACTTAGCAATCTATGTGTGTGTTCATGTGTGTGCAGGAGTGCATGTGTGTGTGGAGGCCAGATGGCAGGTGTCTTTCTCAAACACTATTCACCTTATCTTTTTAGATAGGGTCTCTCACTTAACCTGGAGCTTGCTGATTCAAGCTAGACCAAGCTCCAGTAATCCTCCTGTCTCAACCTCACAAGCCCTGGGATTACAGTTACATGCCATTATGCCAGGATCTTTAACATGGGTATTGGGGCACCGAACTCGGTACCTCATACTTGTGAGGCCAATGAGCCACCTCCCCAGCCCCAAGCTCAATATCTTAAGGCCGTTGTTATTGCATTGCTCATGGGTTTTATGGGTCAAGAATTGGGAAGGCTTAGTATAGAGGGAGTCAGCTGTTTAATTTTTGAGTTTGTTTGTTTGTTTTGTTTTGAGGTTGTGGTTTGAGACAGGGTCTCACTATGTAGTTCTGGCTGTCATAAAACTCACTACATAGACCATGCTGGCCCCAAACTTACAGATCTCTGCCTCTCAAGTGCTGAGATTAAAGGCGTGCATCACTACGTCAGGCCATGATTTTATTTATTTTTATTTTATGTGCTTGTATGTATGTGCATGCAATGCTCACAGAGGCCAGAAGAGGGCGTTAGATCCTCTGGAACTGGAGTTACAGATGTTTGTGAGTCACCATAACTGAACCCAGGTTCTCAGGAAAGCAGCCAAAAAGCAGTCTACTATCATTTGAACACCTGCTGAGCAAATACTGCGTCTCTGAGCTACATCTTTATCCACAACACCTTACTCCCCCCCCCCCTTTTTAATGTTGTAGACAGAATTGTACTACATTGCCCAGGCTAGCCTTGAACTCACCCTGTGCCCTGGGCTGGCTCACAACACTACAACTTCAGCTTCCCCAATGCTCAGAAAACAGGCATGTGCTACCATGGCTCCAAAATTGTGTTAATCCCAGCCAGGCACAGTGCTATATGTCTTTATTCTCAGCACTCAGGAGACAGGTGGATCTCTGTGAGTTCAAGGCCAGCCTGGTCCAAGTAGCAAGTTAATCCCAAAGCAAAACAAAAGACAGCCATAAGTGACACAGAACCATAGGAACAATGCGGAGTGGTGACCAAGTTCTGTCCCCAGAAATGCCATCGTACTCGGCCTCCTGGGGTGCTCACTCCCTGTGCCGCTGTAGCGATTGACCACCAGCCAGGCAGCAGCTGAGGACTCATGATCCCCAGCTGCCCTGGAGGCTCCAGGTCCCCAGTTTGTGTGACTAGCTGGAAATCAGGTTGTCCTCAGGCCATGCATCCACCAGCAGCTAGGAAGGAGAACTCTGTCCCCTGCCTTTCCCGCCTCTTGGAGCTGTTTTCCAGGACTCCATTTTCAAAGCCAGTCACACGCCACCCCCTTCAGCTGTCACGTCACTGGATTCTGTAACCTGGTGGCCCCCACTTCTGTGTGTGTGTGTGTGTGTGTGTGTGTGTGTGTGTGTGTGTGTGTGTGTGTTTATTCTTTGTGTTCATTGAAAATGTATCTCACTTGTGGGGTGGGGGCTCCCACATGCCACAGCTCATATGCCAAGGTCAGAGGAGAACTTGTCAGGTCTGTCCTTCTACCGTGTGGGCTCTGAGAACTGAACTATCTTGACAACCCTTCTTTTATTTTTTTATTGGCTTCTTCACTTAGCAACAGGGTCTCATGTATCTCAGGCTACCCTTGAACTCTCTATGCACTCTGTAGCTGAAGGTGACTTTGAACTCCAGTCCAGACAGAAAGAGCAACAGCAGACCCAAGAAATCACCCCGAGTCCCGCATGGTGAACCAGTTAGTGTATTGGGGTCACTCACAGGATTGTGACTCAAAAGCAGCTGCAGGACCAGAGAGTCCCACGGCGGGAGGGGGGGGCGGGGTGTACAAAGTTGTCTCACTGGAGTCTTCTGACACCTTGCAGGCAGCTCCACTTGAGAGTGTCTTCTCTCCAGCAACGACCTACTGCTCGTGTAACTTGTGAGTCTGGAAAATGCCTTGAGTTTTGTGAGCCTCTTGACCCTTCTTCCCAGCCTGGACTAGAGAAACCCCTCACCACACACAGAAGTTCTCCTCTGTGTGTGGAGAGGCCAGCGGTCGAGTCAGATGTCTCCTTAATTTCTTTTCACCTATTCTGATGGCTCTCACTGAACCTGGAGCTCACTGATTTGGCGAGCAAGCCCCAGAGATCGTCCTGTCTCCACCACCACCACCACCACCACCACCCCAGTGCTAAGGTGACAGGCACATGTGCCATGCCTGGCTTTTGACAGGAGTGCCAGGGAATCAAACCCAGGTCGTCATGCTCGTGGGATACGCACTTGGCCCACTGAGCACCCCCTCACCCAAGGGATATGTTTCTTTGTGTTACAAACAGAAAATGGCTCAGACATCTTTAAGTGACTCACCCAAGGTCATCCCACGGACAGACGTCAGAGCTGGGATTCAAGCCCACACAGGCATCCCTCCAGGAGGCTTCCTACCCTGTACTTCCCTCCTCAGTGTCTAGGCTGGGGCATCACTGCAAAAGCCTGGGCCCCTCCCATGGCTCTCACCCATGGGAACAACTGGTAACAATTTGTGAAGGTGAAGGCAGTTCGGCACACACGTGTTTATCTGCCCTCTCCTCTGTACCCCTAATAGCCTGGAGAGTCATTATAAAGTCTAGAGGACAAAAGAGTTAGGAACCTATGAAGAGCATTGGGTGGTCAGAGTCCAAGTGCCTTGATGTCCCCGTGGTCCAGATGTCAGCATCCGCCACCGCCACCATGCTTCACACTATCCTGATGCTCCTGCCGTCCTCACAAACTGGGGACCAAGTTCTAGTGTAACTCCTGACTGTCGTCCCCACCATTGCGTCTGGCAGACATGAGGATGCCGTTTTGCCTGGGCTGTTTAGACCTGGGGCAATCTCCTGCCTCAAGACACCAGACCCAGTCTGTTCCTCCCCTGCTCACAATTCTCCCATGGCTCCCAGCACACTCCAGGGAAGAAAACAGAACTCAGTGAGTGTGGAGATCCAGTTCTGAACTCTCCAATCTCATAGGTCTTGATGCTGGATTTAGGTACCACGTGTGACATTCCACACCCACATCCCCCTCTTCCCAATCCCCAGTGTGAATGTCTCTTCTACCCAAAATGCCCTTTCCTGGTCACCATGGTCACCATTCTGGTCTCCCCGACAACCCCCTCCCATTCTTGAGGCATCTTCCTGGCTGACTCAGAGGCCTGGGGGAGGGAGGTCAAGCCGCTGTGTGGCTAGGACCCATGGCCATGAACTTGCAGGAAGTGAGGACAGGTGAAGGGGCTGGGGCAGGGGTGGGCACAGGGAGGGGAGGGAGCTGATTCCTGACCTCCTCCCCTAGAATGTGACCTTGGCCATGGCCGTGTTCACCATCCTAGCCTCCATCTACTTCTTCAACAAGGTGAGGGGGAGACAGATGCAGGAGAGTCTGCGTCTCGCGTCTCTCTTCATTTGGCCGTGTAGCCTTTTCTGTGTCGAGTTGCCATGTGTCTCCATCACGCTTCTGTCTCTGCTCTAGGCTCAGCAATGAGAAGGCATGGCTCCCCAGTCCTCCAGCCTGGCCTCTGCCTGTTCTACCATCGCTCTGGCCTCTAAGATCTAATAAATGTAACAGCATCAGACCAAGGCTGCCTTCTCCCTAAGCCCTACTCGGCACAACCCTGCCCCCACGATCAGCCAAAATCTCAGTGGGAAGAAGGAAAGTAGAGACCTGGCCCCCTAGATCTGAGGGAGGAGGCTTGGGCCCTGGACATCTGAGTCTGAGGGAGGAGGCTGGGCCCTGGACCTCTGAGTCTGAGGGAGGAGGCTGGAGCTTGGACCCCTGGGTCTGAGGGAGAAGTTCTGGAAACTGAGGCAGGAGTGACAATGACCTGTGTGCTCTCTAGTTGGAGAATCAGGGTCTGATGTCTGACCTGGGTTTTGAGGAATGAGTAGGAGTCTTTAAGGGCCACAGGTATCTGAAGGGCATTTCAGCCATGCGTGTCAGAGCACAGAGGACTCCCACGGTCCCGTTCTCCCTCTGGCATCAAACGGCTTGTTCAGGACTTAAGACTTATAACTTCTCTCTGAGCACTCCTGCCAGGTAAAAGTGAAAGTCTGTTTAACAGAAGGCCACACTAAGGATAGCTGGAGCTCAAAGGTGTGTGTGAGCAGACCTCGTGACTGTGTCCAGCGTCTGGGTGGTCATGATTCCTCTCAGTTATCTTAAGGAATGCTGACGCTTCCCCTTTTTTCTCTTCTTAGCAAACTCCTATTCAATGGCTATCACATGCAATCAAATCCCTTTCTTATAGAAGCGTCCAGAACGCCGAATAGGGACTCGGTTAGTCCACACTCAATCACCTTCCTGTCACCTTCTCCAATCTCCCCAAGTGAATGCTCTGAGGAACACACCTGTTCATTTCCACCCAGTATCCGAGGCAGTGGCTTCTGAACAGGGTATATGCTGGGCCTTCAGGATAAGGACTAGAAATTTCAAATCACAAACAGATTTGTGAATCTGTTTAGCTCAGAACTGTGGAATTTTAGTGGCTTGAGACCAAGGGGAACTGGCAATCGCGCCCTCTGTTGACTAGAGCCTGTAACAGCACCCTCTGACCTCAACTGCAATGACTCTTTGGATGCAGAATCAGAAATAGCCGCATGATGGCGATGTCGGACTATCTTCCCAGCTTCTAATTGGCCACAGGGTTTGAATTTGCAGCGCATGCTGGGCCTCCCTGGGCTCTCTCCCAAACGCTTCCCAAGCCTTCACCTCCTCCTGTCTGTAGAGTGGCCTCCCTCCAACCCAAGACCACCGTGCACCTCCCTGCTCACAGGGCCCCCACCGGGCCTCTCTGCTATATCCTTAGCCCCGTGACTCAAAAGTGGTTGAGCAGTTCCACGCCAGGGCTTTCCACGCCAGGGCTTTCCACGCCATGGCTTTCCACCTGCTGTGCGCCAACAGCTGTGGTGCCCTTTGCAAGTCCTCCATTACAAACATTCCTTCCTGCCCAACCTCTTCTCCTCACTCCCCCGGTGGGCTGGCTTGGCTGCCAATGTGTCTTCAGACACATTGGCAACCTTTGCGTGCTCCTCATCCCTCCTTCCCCCAGGGCTTGATCGTTTATGAGGTTTCTGTGTCCTCAGGGAGCTATCAACTTGGCATTTTCTCAACCGCAGTCCAGTGGAGATGGATATGTCTCAGGCCGGCGCTGTGGGGACCCACTGAGGGCTTTGTCAATTCCCACCACTGGGCTTGGGGTGGGGTGGAGCATTGATTTTGCTCTGAAAGCTCCCCAGGGTGCTATGAATGGGCAGTTGGGGTTCTGAGGCTGCTCATTATTGAGAGGAAGCTGAGTGCTTCCCAGAGGTAGCTCTGCTGCCTGAGAGAGTCTTCCAGAGACCTCTACTCAGACAAAGATGGAACTCTATTACTATTATTATTATTATCATCATCATCACTATTTTAATTTTATTTTTAAAAGTAAATATTTACTAAGTGTCAGGATTGCATTATGTGCTTTAAAGATTATAATTTAATTAATTATTTGAGTCAGGTTAGCTGGAACTCAGTATATAAGACTAGAATGGCCTCAAAATAACAGAGATCTGCCTGTCCCTACTGGGATAAAGGGGTGAGTCACCACCCCTGGCTTTTATTTTTCAATTACATGTATGTGGTGTGTGTGTGTGTGTGTGTGTGTGTGTAAATGTGCACATATGTGGGGGGTGTCCGTGGGCCAGAAGAGGGTGTCAGATCCCCTGGAGCTGGAGTAATAGGCTGCAAACTGCCAGACATGAGTTGGGAAACAAACTCCTAACTCAGGTCCTCTGCAGAAGCAGCAGGTGCTCCTAACCACTGAGTCATCTCTCCAGAACTGTGAGTCAGGGTGAAACAGAGTTGGGATTAAGCGTTTAGGGCTGAAGAGATTGCTCAGTGTTAAGAGCAAACGGCCTGGGTTGGATTCCCAGCAAACACGTGGCAGCTCTGAGTCTTCTCTGACTCCAGTTTCAGGGGACTGAGGCCTCTGTGACACAGCACACATGTGATGCACAAGACAATGCAGACAGAACACACACACATACAATGTTAAAAGTGAATCTCTAAAAGAAAACAGTTTCGGCCTGAGGACATGGCTCAGTGGGTTCAAAGTACTTGCTAGGTAAAATGAGGACCTTAGTCTGACATTCCAGAACCCACATGTGTGGAAGCTTGAGGCTGTAATCCCGGCACTGCTGTGCCAAGATGGAAGGCACCCACAAGAAAACCCCTGGGAACCGGAAGGACAGCTGCTCTGGATACACGGTGACAACACAAAGACAGTGTCTAAGTTACTGTTCCATTGCTGTGACAAGACACCACAGCTAAGGCAATCCTAAAAAAGCCATTTAACTGGGGGCTGGCTTACGGCTTCCCAGGGTTGGTCCGCGCTCATCGTGGCAGAGAGTGGAGTGGCAGGCCTGGTGCTGGAGAAGCAGCTGAGAGCTCACATCCTGATCCACAGACAGAGACGCAGCAGGCAGGCAGGCCTGGTGCTGGAGAAGCAGCTGAGAGCTCCCGTCCTGATCCACAGACAGAGACGCAGCAGTCAGGGAGACAAACCGGGCCTGTGTGGGCTTTGAAACCTCAAAGCCCACCCCAAGTGATACACTTCCTCCAACAAGGCCATGCCTCCGCCTCCTCCTCTTCCTCCTCTTCCTCCCTGGTGACTAAGCATTCAAATCTATGAGCCTATGGGGGCCATTCTCATTCAGACCACCACAGACCCTGTCTCAACTAAGGTGGAAGGTGAGGATCAGCATCCTCAGGTTGCTTTCTGACCTCAAACACACACGTCATGTCACATGCAGACCTACAGTCTGACATGAATGCACACCCATCATAAACATATACAGAAATAAGATTTTTAAAATACTGCTTTTGACTGTGTGTCTGTGCACATGAGCTCAGTCAACGCCCATGGAGAGAGAAGGGGGCACCAGACCCCCGCCTAGGCCTTCATTTACAGGTGGTTGTGAGTTGCCACATCCTTTGGAAAAGCAGCCTATGCTCTTAACTTCTGATCCATCTCTCCAGCCCCAAGAAAAGATTCTGATCTAGAGAAATGCCTAGGGGAGAGCTGTGCTTCTTAAGACAGCATCACCCTCAAGTGTCTGGACTCTGGTCACATATTCGACTCTGTTATTTTTTTTATTTTTTGGAAGTTTCTGACATTACTTTGTTCAGAGGAACTTATTTTTTCTCTTTTCTTGCAAAATCACAAGATGCTTTCCGGGGCTCATCAGAAAAGATTACAGCTCTCAAAATAAAACCATAGTCCACAGGGGAGCTAGGGCATGCTTCAATCTGCACCCAAAGTTTATAGTTTTGTTTGTGAGATTCTCCAGAAAATTGCCTTTAAAATTCTTTAAAGTTTGCAGTTTACAGCTTTGAAAAAAGCTTGGCCACAGACGCTTCAGACTTGTTCAAGAGTTCGCTGCTATTTTAACCTTGGTATTGAAAACAGCTCTGTGGGGAAGGAACGCTGGTGTTTTGTAGGCAGCCATCAGAATAAACAGGTTTTTGTTCTGGGGTTTGTGTGTCTGTTGTTTGGTTTGGGATGGGAGGAAGGTGGCGCGTGTGCCACAGCCCTCGCCTGGAGGTCAAAGAAGGGCTTGCAGGGGCCGTTTCCCTCCACTGTGTGGGGCCCGGGTGTTGACGCAGGCTGTCAGGCTTGGTGGTGAGCGGCTTTCTTAGCCGCTGAGCTAGCGTGCTGGCCTGCAGATATGGATGGTGCTGGAATTCCTGACTCTAACTGGAGACTCAGCCAGACTCTGGTGAAGGCTCCTTTCCCTTCATGTCCGTCTACTTAAATTTCCCCTTTCTACATCTGACAGTGTCAGAGGCTCAGGACAGCCAGATGTGGTGGTGGTGGTGGTGGTGGTGGTGGTGGTGGTGGTGGTGGTGGTGGTGGTGGTGGTGGTGGTGTGGTGTGTAGGCTGGTCATCCCAGCACTGGAAGGGGGCCTGAGGCAGAAGGATCACCATGTGTTTGAGGCCAGCCTGAGCTATAGAATGAGACCCTGTCTTAAAAAAAAAAAAAAAAAAAAAAAAAAGACTTAAAAAAGGCGAGATGGGTGGAGCTCAGCTTTGGGGTTGAGAGGTGTCATGGAAGGAGAGCACTTTTTAGAATCCTCTAGTGAGCTGGAGCATGGCTCACTGGTCGAGCCCCTGCCTAGAATCTTCCAGTGAAAGGTTGGGCTCTGGCACAGTGGCAGGGCTCTTCCTAGCATGCTCAAAGCCTTGGGTTCCATTCCCAAAGGGGAAGTGTAGTTAAAAGGGACTTGGGATTTCAAAATCCCAGAAGAAAGACACTTGGCCAGAAAGCCGCTCCTCCAGAGGTCCGGAGCTGGCGGGTCTCTCTCCAAACCACGTAGTGGGGCAAACATCCAGGTTCATGTGCGGGACTGTCCCAGCACCAGTACTGGGTTTGGGGCCTCAGGAACTGCTCAGTTCTGGGCCAGCAGGGGTGGCTGGTGACCAGGACTCTGTTCCTGTGTTTGTGTCCAGGCCAGGACAGCTGACTGCCTCACACCTGTCTCCTCTCCCAGGCTGCCTGCCTGCCTCCCCACCCCGTTCTTCCTCACACAAGTTCTATTTA